TTGTGGAACTAGAAACTTATTCTGTAGATGCACCATTATTTATATATGAATCATAAGACAACGATGAAACTTCAGAATCATGAAAGGGGACCATTTTCATCCATTTATTAATAAGTTTGTTTGCCAACATATTACTTCCTCTGTGTGATTTGTACAAGACAATGTCGAAAACTAACTTGGATAAGTACCCTATTATCATTCATCATTTTAAAATGACTGTTGGAAACATGGTCATGTTGGAAGTATGTTGCAGACATCTGCCCTTCTGTGTTTGTTTCTGGGATATTTTGAACATGATAATATCTTACTCTGAACATAGGATTTATAGCTTCATATTAACTTTTTATGCTTATATTTTCACCTAAAACCTGTGCCATTGTGTCTTAGAACTGAAATCATTATTTTTTGGGTTCAGGAGGAGTTTGACGCCTATGATCACAATGTTCACTGGTTTGTAAAGCTGCAGTTTCTTAAAAAAAGATCAAAAATCATCGAGATTGTTTCAGCAAAGGACATTATATTTGCTCTTGCATACTCTGGTCTATGTGCTGCTTTTAGTCGGTGTAAGTTTTTTGGATTAATATTTGTTTTGTCCTTTTGGACCTTATTTGTTCTCTTGATCTTTAGTGCTGACAAATGCTTTTTTCTGTTTTTCAGCAACTAATGAACGAATATGCTTCTTGAATATAAGTCCTGATGAAGTGATTAGAAGTCTCTTTTATAATAAGAACAATGATTCACTTATTACAGTCTCAGTTTATGCATCAGATCATTTCAGTTCCTTGAAGTGCAGGACAACTCCAATAGAGTAAGAGTCTTGATTGTTTCAGCTAAACTGTTTTGGAAATGATTGGTATGAATTTTTCCTTCTTTGAGTTCTTTCAAACCGGATTGCTGTGTTGTGAGGAAGAATATGTTCTGTATCTTGATTGATTACATGAATTAGCTTTGTGTGTGCAAAAGGCCAGATATGAAATGGTTCTAGTCCATACTTCATAGGCATAGTAGACTCTTAAGTAGAACTAAAATTTCAAGCATCAATGAACTAGCAATAACAGTTGTCAAGGGTCTATTAGATTAGGATTTTTGACTTTTGCTTTGGCATGTAATTTCATATGAATGACTCGTCTATTTTTGTTTGATGCAAATTACTTCTCAGTTTTGTTTTGTTATTTACTTCTTCATAATAGAATTTATTGGTGTTGTTGGCTTGCAGTTGACTGCTAGTAGTAGGGAGAAAACATGGTGATTATGGTTCAAAATCTGTTTTCAGTAGTGTATTTCTGAAGCTAAATCCAGGAAAGTGCAAATTATGTTTATGTTCAATGTCAGACTTCTGGACTGAAATAGAACTGATGTTTGGCTTACTTCAATTTCTTGTCCTTCTGATGTTTGTTTGCATCTGGTTTTGGTAGTATATGCTGAGATAGTTAGTTGTTAGTTCTAATAACAACTTCAGTCATATATAAAGAATATTGATATCTAAAGTTCACTCTGCATTAAATTAATTATTGACAGGTTCATCAAAAGGAACCAGTTAGATGCTGGGTTCCCTCTTTTTGAAAGTGAATCTCTCAAGTGGCCTGGTTTTGTCGAATTTGATGATGTAAATGGCAAAGTTCTGACATACTCAGCCCAGGATGGGTAAGCAATCTCCTTGATGAATTTATTCTACATGTCATGGTAACATGCAGTCATTTCTATTAATTACCTATTGTATGTATTATTTGTAGCATCTACAAGGTCTTTGATCTCAAGAACTACAAGTTTTTGTATGCGATATCAGATAAGAACATGCAGGAGATAAAAATCAGGTTTTTGTTTCTGAATGTTTCTCCCCCATAAGTACCCATAGATGCTACTGTTTGTTATTGGCTTTATTAAAATTCATCTTGTATGCATCTAATATTCCCAAATTAACTTATGACAGCCCAGGAATTATGCTGTTAATATTCAATAGAACACCAAGTTATGTTCCATTAAAGATACTTTCCATTGAGGATGGAACTGTGTTGAAATCGTTTAATCACCTATTACACCGAAACAAAAAGGTCGACTTTATAGAGCAATTCAATGAGAAGCTTCTGGTCAAGCAAGAAAATGAGAACCTTCAAATCCTTGACGTAAGTATCTTTCTTCTCCTGCCTATTTAATGATAGCTCCTAACAAGTATAACAGCTACCTTTTCTATGAAGCAGGTGAGAAATTCAGAGTTGACTGAGGTTAGCAGGACAGAGTTCATGACACCATCGGCATTCATCTTTTTGTATGAGAACCATCTTTTTTTGACATTTCGCAACAGGACAGTGGCTGTATGGAACTTCCGTGGGGAGTTAGTCACCTCTTTTGAGGACCATTTGCTTTGGCATCCTGATTGTAATACCAATAACATCTATATCACCAGTGACCAAGATCTGATAATTTCCTATTGCAAAGCTGAAGAAGGGTGTGGTGATGAGGGAGACGGTTAAGAATGCCTTCCCATGTTGCTTTGTTGGGATAGAAATGCATATAGAACATTCCTAATTTTGTTATTTTGTATGTCTCTGCAGTTTCAGCTGTGGGCTCCATCAATATGAGCAACATCCTGACTGGGAAGTGCATAGCTAAGATATCTGCAAGTGATCCTGCACTGCAGACCAGTCCTCAGAGAAGAGGCAAAACAGGTCGGTCTTCTATTAGGAGCACTGTTAGAGAAGCCCTTGAAGATGTAACTGCTCTATTCTATGATGAGGATAGAAATGAAATCTACACCGGAAACAAGCAAGGTTTGATACATGTATGGTCCAACTAGCTGTGGTTGTGAACGAATAGGATGGGCATAGATGTATATTGCCATACACATCTTGGGTATCAAAATCAATTCTTGCATGAGACACTAGCAGATATTTAGGTAACATGTATGTTTTGACCAAGTGTATTTGGCTGCATTTTTCGTAGTGTAACATGCATGCAATATAATTTTATGTTAAGCTTGATGGTTCCTTTTTAATATTTTTGAATCATATGTTTGTTTGGATCCAAATTGATTTGTGTGTTTTTCGTTGGTTGCCAACATGCTACTTAGGTTGACCAGCATGATTTCATCAGAACAGGTATCTTTTTAAGTCCCAATCGAGGGTTTTTGGTGTGTGAGCCATTCTCCTACTGTTTGTCTACATTAAGGAAGCATTCTAAGTTTCATGATTTTATTCCTTAAGCTGAAATTGACAATATATGTGCATCAGGAATAAATATTATATCAAGCTGATATTCATCAGAGAATGATCATGATCAAAGAGATTATTATGCTGCAACAAAAGCTCTGATTGAGGTTTGCTGTGTCTTGTGTCATCCACATGATTTTCAAGGTATCAGGCCACATTTGCATTTCATATTAATAAATGCATGTTTATTAACTGCATCTTTTTGTTTGCCTTGAAATTAAAGAAATAGTCTTTGTAGCTGTTGCAACTGTGAGTAACTAGTAAAATGTCATCCACATGAGGTTCCCAATGGTTGCCACCAAAGTTTACTGGTGATGATTCTGCTTGGTCATACTATTTTATTAGTCAACATACAGGATCATAAATTATTCCAACAAGGACACCTCCTCGATGAAAAGGTAAAATAAAATAGAAGGTTCTTTCAAAATGTTTTCCTGATTGGGGGATTTCATGCGATGTATCATCTCCTGGCCATTTATGTAGTGCTTTAGATCTGTGGTTGGATTTTTAAGCTTTACGTATATGTTGTTCTTTGTCACAACTCAGTTGTCCACTGAGGAGATAGAGGTATTGGAAATATGGCCGGTGGGTGGAACTCATACTGGTAAGGCAGCCCCAACACAAACTAATGGTTGAAATGTGTGAGCATGACAGGATGAATTCCTGGTAACAGAGCTAATTGGAAGTTGTAATTCTCCATACACAATTAGAGAGGACCAGTCAAACTTGCAACGCAAGTTGGCTACACAAGAGTGCTGCCAAAAATCTGGCCCATGGTGATCAAATTGGGTGGCCACTTGTAATTAAATTAACTGTGACGCTTGTGTGATGGACCCATTCAAATGCAAGAAAAAGGCATTTGACAGCTCCATAATATCATTTCAGAAAAAGGAAGTACACCTACTGAATCTGAAAACCTAGCTGTAAGTTTGACCCTCTCCCCCCACCAGTCTCTGTCTTGGGTTCTGCACCTCGTGCAGGTGGGGCACTTAACAACTAGTGTAAGGCCACCTTCATGTCCCTGTCACTTTCCTAATCCTTGGAAATCTTGTTCTTCCCCCAGCTTCATGTCCCTGAATCATTCATTCCATGAACTCCTTTCCAGGAGCATGCCTATCTCTTGAGGCCTCTTGGTGTCACTAGATTTAACTTCCGTTTCAAGGCATGACTTTGGCTGGGTCCATCTGAAACCTTCATCACGACACATGCTTCTTCTGCATTTAGTCTTATTTATGTCAAGCGACCGACCATAATGCATCATTGAACACCTTTATGAAGCCATACAATTTAGCTGTGATTTGGATTGTGTTTGTTTGGGTCATCATTTTGCCTCAGTGGTTGAAGGTTAGGTGCACGGTCTATGTCTGCTGTACACTAAAAATCTACAAGAGGAGTTTCTGGTAGACAATCGCTTCTAACCCTTATGAGTTGATGAGTGGCTTCTTTCTTTTAGATCAACATCACTAGAGCGAGTAGATTGAGAGCCTATCCTTATGTTGGAGATCAAATTGTGTGAGAACTTGATTGGGATGACTCAACATAAGCTTACTACTTTTTCAAGCTTAATCATGTATCAGGGATCAGTAGGGTCATCTTCTCTTCCTTGATGTCCCATTTGCCAAGAGGGAGGGAGTTTGCATGATTTAGCCAAGAAAAGAGATGGAGGTTGATATAAATCAGATTGTTGTTGTGTAAAACATCTTCATGTTTCTGTTCTGCAAGGTTCACAAGAACCAAGCTGATGATTTCTGATATCACAAAATCTGTACATTGGAGAATTCTCCTATCAAACACTCATTACTTATCAAGAACAATCCAAATTGCCAACAATAGACATAAAAGGTAAGTTGATCATCTGCAATTAGTAACACAGATGCTTGCTACACTTTCATCTTGGGTTCCATATGACAGCCATGAGTTTGCCTACAAAGACAGAATCCCCTTTCTCACCAACATGACAACATTACAACTTCTGAACCCTCAAAAGCCAAATTCTTGTGCTTGTCCGTCCTAAAAATTGCAGTACTCCTCCTCTTCCTCTTCAGAGACATCAGAACAGCAAGCAGGTCTTTGCCTAGTACATCAACGTATGGTTATTTGCTCCTCTTTTAAGTTTAGGCCAAGTCTGCATTTCCAGTTCTACTGACCCAAGCCAAGCCATGGTTTGCCATCTTCTGGCTTCACAGGAGCAGGCGATTCAGAGGAACCAGTAACTTGATAAGGTGACTTCGCACTGATCCTGTGAATATTTCAAGATTCACATAAGAAAACTAGTATTACCATTTGTAACATTGAACTCATTTACAGGTTAGCGAACGACATGAGTGAGTTCCACCTACCGATCCTTTCTCTTCTCGAGGAACCGCTGGAGCGAAGATTTTCTAGCTATGGGAAGATCTGCATTCCAACCAGCACAAACAATAAGCACCAACAGGAACCAACTCTACAAACCAAGCTGAAGAAGAGTCTTATTACCAGATTGCGCTGTTCTTTCCAGATCGCTGTGAGCAGCGACTGAATTGCTCACAGAAGAAGTCGTGAACTTGGTCTCTTGATTGGACAAATTAGTAGGATGATGATCCACGACTGCGGCTGCCAAAGCTGATGATGAAGGTTCCACATAGCAGGAGTTTTGCATGGTGGAAGTCACCTTGCTTGCTAATTGCATCAGGTTCTTCACCTTATCAGATGGAAAACTGTCAAAAACCAGGACTTTATCACCATAGAAGATTGTCAACTGTGCCCTTTTTGGTTCCCTGCAAGAATCCCATAATCCCATGAAAGAACATTAGAGACACGGTGCTTGATGTTGCTTCCAGAAGTACACAGTTGCTGTCTTCCATAAGAACATACAATTATCCGTAATTGTTAACTTGTTCTGGATGCGACAGTCAAAAGAAATGAAATAATTAATGCTCGTCGTACGAAGAGAGATAGAGAAAAAGATTTAAGTGTTCTAAACTTAATTAAATTTTTTTTTTTCTTGATGCGCGACAAAAGATCCATATAACTCATCCCAGATAGTTGAGACTTACGGATTTGTTGTTATCGTTCATATGTTGTAGAATGTTTGATAAGTTTCAGATGTCATTGTATAATCATTTATATTTTTCCTGCTACACAAAAACAAAATTTGGAAGGCAATTCGGCACTGTGCACTTATGTTTGACAAGTAAAATTCTTGTGCTTGTGAAAATTCCTAAAACAGGGAACACAAATAGGAGGGCAAGACCTGTTGTTTGCCTCCTCCACCATCCAAAATTGCTATTGTTTTGAAGCATGTGAATAGCATGTTTGGTCTTCGGTGTTTATGTTTCTAAACACAAAGAAAACGGAAAACAGAAATGCTAATAAAACGACTTATTCTTGGTTCTTGTGGATGTTTCCGTCAGGCAAAAACGTTTTCTGCGGGATACGGTTTGGGATGCAGACCTGACATCGGATGCGTCGCCGGGTTTCCCGTCCGCCGCCAAAGCCGTGACGGAGGAAGGCCCGAAACCGGCACGCTGCGGGAACAGCTCCATTGTGTCCACACGGAGCTCCTCTTCGCCCGTCCTCTCCCCTTCTCCCTCGCCGCCCGATACGTCCGCGCCGGGCAACAACATCATGGTGGTCGGAGGAGGCCGGAACGCTTCAGATTTACCTACAAATTAACAAAGATTCTAACAAGGATCAGCGACTCTGGATCAGAAAGGGTTCTCCGGGAGGGGAAATCTGAAGGAAGAAATGGCAATTTCTGCTCGATTCATCTTCAGTGGTCGGGATTTCCAATCTACCCCCGATGATCGAAGATATCAGCTGGAAACCCTCATCAAAAGGAGAAATTTCTGACATAAACCGTCTGAAGCGAAGGGAGGTAAACAAGGGGAAAGCTCTCACCTTTAGGCGCGTCCAGAGGCGGTGGTGGCACTCCGAGGCCCAAGTCGGCGACGACGCTGCCCTTCTCCTTGATGTACTGGCTGAGGAGGCTGCAGACGACAGCGAAGTTAGACTTCTCCCCGGACCTCCCTTGCTTCCGCCCCATCGCGGCATCCATGTCTTCCTTCCCACGCCTCCGAAGCTCCACTTTAAAGGTCTTCCTTTTTTCCCCCTCTTCTCTTCTATTGGTTGGTGATAAGGTCACCGCCGCCTTTCCTCCCGCCTTCGTTTTGCCTTCACACAACCTTCGCCATGTCTTATATATACATAGGAGTAAGTGTGCACATGGAACAGGAGGCGGATATAAAGCACGTGATCCTTTGAAGCGACGGGAAACCGCGGTAGCCGAAGAGGTTAGCTGTATTGACTTCATTTTACATATAAGCCCCTTAACTCTTGTTATTTGTAGGAAAAGGTACATATCGTTTTGGGCTGACTTGGGCCCTTACTGGGCCTGTCACGGACCAAAGACATCTTGCTCCGTAATTGATACGATTGATCAATAATAGATCAATCATATCAATTACAAAAGAAAACTATATGTAAATTAGCTCAAATCTCCTTACACATTTGATTTGAATATAAACTAATATATCATAGAGCGAGTATTGTGTTTTATATCAAAAATTTTGTGTTAAGGTGACTTTTGAAATCGTAATAGATTTTGTTATTTAATTTGAAGAAAAAAAAAAGAAAGATCCAACTTATTCTTGACATTAATTTATTTCTTAGGCTTTGTTAATGCTGATTAGCCTACAAATCTGTGGCCTCATAAAATGGAGGCTTAGAAGGCTCTGAAAGGAGATTAAGACAAACTAGTTTTATTTGGACAAGTATGTATAATTGGAGTATAATGCTGATGCCATATTCCTAATGGATTTGAGAGAAAGGACCAAAGAAAATGCAACACTTTATGCTCCACTGGTTACTGCTGTGATGTCATCGGTGAGATGCTTGCGTCTGATTAGTTTGAAGTCTATGGTTCGAAGCAACATGGCATATTCTTCGTCACTTTTGATCGTTCACCTTTGAGTGCTTAATTTAGTGAGATGGAGATGTTGTGTTGCTATCGGACTATGTCGGCGAAAGAGCGTTAGTTGATAGAAGATGAAATTTTTCCAACTGTACGAGCATTAGTTGAAGCATTTTCATTTCTTCAATAAAGCTTTTTCACTTCTTCAATAATTGTTCTTATCTTTTATTCTTTTTATCATGGTATCAGAGCAGCGAGAAAAGCGAAGCTTCGCTCTTGCCTTTAGCCAGCGACCAACGTCGCTGAGAAAAGCGAAGCTTCGCCCTTGTCTTCAGCCAACGACCAATGCCGCTGCAGCCACATTCCTAAGAGGCTCCATTGCCAATCCTCATCTTCCTCACCACGGTAGCCTTCGCTGATCTACCAGCAGTCGGTACAACAATCGTAATAGTAGCAGCAATTTGCTCTTGCCCTACTCACGAAGTATCTCGCTTGTAAACCATTCTTTGTATCGATCCAAGATCGGTATCCTTATCAGGAGCGCCACAATCTCGATTATAATTAACTTCTTGAGCCAGGTTTTGTTTGTCAAACATATTTATATTTTTAGTGTACTATCGAAGAAAAGAGTTTGAGTTAATATATAATTATGGAATGCTTCGAGTGTTTGATAAATAATTACATTTAAAATATTATTGATATTGGTGTTTGTTTAGTAAAATCGTATTTCAAAAGTCTATTGAATATTATATGATTTTTTAATATCTATTTAAAACTAAATACACATATTTTATTTAAAATAAAATAAAAAAACTATATATAATTTTACAAACATTTTTGTATGACCCAAATATAAAATAAATATAAAATATAATTATGTAAAATAAATGTAAAATATATTTTGAAAATAAATAAATAAAATTTTATCTTATAGAAAAAAAATATTTTTTTGTTGCAAAGGTAAGTGATAATAATAATAATAATAGTTTCTTACTCAATTATTTTGATAATAATAATAACATTAATTTCTTACTAATCATAAAAAATATGTTGGTTTTTTGCTAAATTATTTTGATAATCTTATAATTTTAAATAATATTATAGGAAATTTTAGAAATTAAAAAAATAATATTAACATACCACAAATACTGACTGCTCATGTTAGTTACCCATCAACATGTAAACATTTCTAATATAATATCTGATTCAACTATAATATAAAAAAAATAATATTAAATATTAATTTATATTTAAAATATACAGTGGATGATCACATCAAGGGTCTTTGTACCACTCATGCGGTGGCACATGAACTTGGAATTGCTATAAATATTGTTAATATCAACCAAGATAATCATCACATCAGATCAGTGTCAGATCCTAAATATCATAAAGAAAGGGTTCAATGCTCTCTCTCTCTCTCTCTAGACAAGACAAGATAATGTTTTTCTTTCACTTTAGATTTGATCATATTTTAACTTGAGCTTGAAAAAGATATGATGATAAGATTTGATCATATTTTAACATGAATCACATCAAGACAAATTCCCTTTGGGCGGATGGATAGTGTCCGTCTTTAACATATTGGAATAGCACAGTAAGTGTGAGACTAAGTAGCTTTTGTCTGATGGAATATGCTGTTGCACCGGAGGATGATCTGAGTTCACCCTCCTTCCGTGGCTTCCTTTCATTTGTCTTTTTACCCTTAATCTCTCTCTACTCTGCCAGCAAGCTTAGCATATGCTTCCAAATATTCCTCCCTCTACTCTTCCAATGCTCTCGAGATGATTATAAATGGTGACTTCTGTCACCACCTTACGCATTTATGCAGGCAGCTCAAGAGAGAGAGAGAGAGAGAGAGAGAGGGCGATGAAGTTTGGAAAGAGGCTGAAGAGGCAGATAGAGGAAAGCCTGCCCGAGTGGAGGGACAAATTTCTGTGCTACAAGGACCTCAAGAAGCTGGTTAAGCTCATCTCTGCAGCCCAACCATCTTCCAAAGCCGAGGCAGAGTTCATCTGCCTCTTGGACTCGGAGATCGACAAGTTCAACGCCTTCTTCGTCGACCAGGAGGAGGAGTTCATCATCCGGCAGATGGTGCGGTCATCACAGTAATTCTTGGATGACATGATCTGAGGATTCCTATGCTGTTCATGCAGGAGCTGCAGGAGAGGATCAAGAGGGTAGCTGCGACGTCGGCGGCGGCAGAGTACGGAAGGATCGGAACCGAGATGGTCAATCTCCATGGCGAGATGGTGTTGCTGGTGAACTACAGCAGCGTCAACTACACAGGTCCTCGAACCCACCTCTTCTTCTCTGCTATACGCGCATCTGCTTCACTGGAGTTGTTGTCATCACAGGTCTCGCAAAGATCTTGAAGAAGTACGACAAGCGAACCGGAGGCCTGCTAAGGTTGCCCTTCATCGAGAAGGTGTTGGAGCAGCCCTTCTTCACCACTGATCTCATCTCGAAGCTGGTGAAGGATTGCGAGAGCACCATGGACTCTATGTTCCCTGCAGCAGCAGCAGCAGCAGCAACAGCAGCTCGAGACGAAGCTGTGATGATGGTTGAGCAGAGAGTGTTCAGGAACGCAGTTGCTGCGCTGGTGACCATGCGAGAGCTGCGAAGGGGAAGCTCAACTTATGGTCACTTCTCGCTGCCGCCTCTGACCTTGCCGGACGCTGATCTGCTACACTCCTTGCAGCTCCCTTCGCCCATTCCCATCCTTTGATGCTCGCTCGATGTGCATCATCATCCATCTCATGTGTTCATGTCATCACTTGCAATGGACATGATATGTATCAACAACCAGTTTGCATCAAATGAATCCTCCTTCCATTAATTATATATATATATATATATATATCTTTATTAAAGTGTATAATAGAAATATTAAAAATATAAATACATAGAAATATTAAAAATAGAATATAC